TTTTATAAGAAATTTATATCAGATTTTAAAATTAAAAAATACATGTAGTGTTTAAGAAGTTTAATGCAATCATTTTCTTTAAATTTTTAAAATTATTTATTTAATAAATTATATAATAATCTAAATTTAATAAAATTATATAACTTTTATTTTCAATGAAAGTCTGCGATGTTTTATAAAGAAAATTTTACTTTTGACAAAGAAAAATTAAACCTTAATTTTTACATGATTGAACGATGTTTGAGTTCTTTTAGTTGATTTTTATGTAAGTTGTAAATTTTGAGAGAAACCATGTTTAATTGAGTAAAATTTATTAATTCACATTGGTTTTTAAAAATGAAATATAGGAAAAAATATAGGAGGCTAAATAGGAACAATGTAGTATTTTTAAATTTATATTTGAATATTTAGTTCTTTTAAACAACTTTAATTTTTATGATCCTTTCTCTTAAATATCACTCCTTATTAGTCCTCCTCCTAATTCTCCTCTAAAATTTTAGCTTTTGTTCAGTAAATATCGTCTTGACTGTAGTTTCAAACTATCTTGATTAAACGTTCATGATCCATATCAATCAATAGTACATTTGAAGATCACCAAAGTCTATAATACCAAGTTCTATATGTGTAACGATCCATAAATGCTATGATCGGTTATCCATGCGGAGAAAGTAGTTTTTCCATTTATCCAGGACCCATTTTATATGAGACAATACCCTAAAAGATATCATGAAAGAAATTATATTTTGCAAGCCACAAAAAGAAGGAAATTATATTTATTGATGCAACCGCCACCTTATAACTGAATCTGAATGCGATAACAGGCATCCCTTTCTGTAAACAAAATTCCTGCATTTTTGTGCTCGTGTATTTATGTTGTACTACCTCCGGTCCTTAATATAAGACCCCGTTTGACTTTTTGTTTGTTCCTAATTATAAGACCCCAAATCCATTTTTCTCTCATTTTATATGCATTTTTTCCAAAAGTCCTTCTAATAAATGATAGTTCTAGCCAATACACTTAATTAGAAAAGATATTTTAAGAATGACAATACTTATTTATTATAATACTAACTTAACATACTTCCTTAATCTCCTCAAATAAGTCAACTGGGTCTTATATTAGGACCGGAGGTAGTATTGCTTTTTTAAAGGAGTAAAAGTCAACTATAAACCACCATCATTCAAAACAGGGTAAAACTTGAAAAACACATTTTCTGCTTCCGTCATTCTCCTACATAATCAAAAAGCTTAAGAATCAGCCGAGCTTTATGCAATGTTCGCTTTTAAAATATAGATTGTTCGGGTTTTGTTTAAATATAAAGTTCTGATGCGGGCATTATAATTCACTGAAAAATCTTATTTCGTCCCTATAGACGATTAGAAACAATATAAAAGAATACGTTATCAGGTAAAAGGGGTCTACAGGACCCCATGGAAGAGGCTTGATGATAGCTAACATGAAAGATGTTTACAACAGACCCAAAAAAAGAGAGTAAAAAACACATCGTAGAGAGAACAGTCAAGAGCACCAATATAGGGCTCAGTCACAGATATACATGAAAAAGGGCACATGAATAATCTAGCTGCTAGCGTTGGTCTGGTGCCTGGCTTTTTCCTTCTCCTTCACCTCACTTCCTTGCGTCTTGTCATAGGCTTCATGATCCCAATATAAAATCAAATTCAAGAAAATCATCAGTGCCAAATACAAGATCATTTCAGAAAAGAGAGAAGGCAGCCATGATTAGAAAAGTCGTAAACTTCTTGTTGATGTTTGATTAGTATACGAAAAGACAAACCTGGATGATTTTCGTGGATAAACTCATCTGTCTCAATCTTTGAATCCGACTCGTTTCCACCATAAATCCCACCAAAACCTTCCTCATCCGATCTTGTAGCATATCCTTCCCCAAAGGAATGAGACATCACATCCCTTCAAAAAGTGGAAATTATTTAAAACATACCATACTCTATGAGCACATTTGTTAAGTCATCGCAAGCAGGATAAAAGATCGTAAGTAATCATAACATGCGCCCAAACACTACACATACCAAAAATGAAATTAGGAAGAGAAAAAGGAACACACCCATGTTTTTCATCTGGGTTGTGCGGAGGCTTGTCCATCTTACAACCACTATCAGGTTGGCCGGATACAGAGACTGATTGCGTTTGCCGGAATCTTAAGAGAGAAGTTTGCCGAGCAAGGCTGGAACGGGGGAAGGAGGAGGAAGGAGAAGCTCGAACAGTCTTGATGGCGTGAAACATCTTTGTCGGGTCTTAAGAACGATGAAGCCAAGTGGGGCACTTTATACGCACCGATTGAAACAGCCCCTAGAGTTTGGACACAACAGGATAGGGACAGCCACCGATTGAAGTGTCGCTCAGAATTCTGACCCTCGGCAAAATCTACTGCGTTCTATGTCTTCACACGTGGCTTGTTTTAGAGGACACGCGTCTTTCTATCGACAAAAGCCTTTTGCGTCTTCCTGCGTTGCTTTTAGCTGAAGAAACGGCACGTTGAAGCTTGAATCAGCTTCATTGCGCACATATAAAATATTACCAGTATCAGATTAGATGGGTGAGGGATGCGGATAACATATTAAAAGGAACCAACCACTATTCACTGGGTAAAGCCGTAAAGGTGCTCATTGATGATCTGTCAGGAGAAAACGATATAACTACTACACTTGTAACTCTACCCGAATCATATTCTATTAAAAACCCAAAAAAAAAAAGTTGAAATTGGTTTTATTTTAGTTGCTTTTTGGCTGGAAGAGCATTAAGCTGGGGTTTAGCGTTTGAAGTTCTACGAAGTAGCACATAGGCGCTTCCTCCTTCCAGATGGTGGTTTACAGGACTCATGCGGAATATCAAAAGCAGAAGGCTCGCGTGCGACGTGCATGATGGGATGAATGAGTATGATCTAATATTGGTTGGTGCGTCTGTTTATATATTTGCTTGAATGTTGTGGTACCTTGATAAAATGCTCTGTGAATAGCTCTTCTACTTTTTTTCCTGGTTTCATGCTGACTTGACCTTTTTCATCAAAAAAAAAAAAAACGGTTTTGCCCATTAGGAAATGAGAATAAAAGAAAAAAGAGAGAAAACTTCGAGAAGAAAAAAAATAATGATGGACGGAATATGTTTTGAACAATTCAGGGATAAAAAGAAAGAGTCATTGGAGCCGTTTACCCAGCACTTTTGACGGTCATGGCGTCGGATCAAGCAGTCCCAATTAGCAATATACAGAAGAGAAATGAAAATAGTGGAACAAAAAAAAAATCCCGTTATTCATGCAGATGAAACTACTGCCAGCTCCTGGTAAGTATTTGTTGGTGTTTACCACGTGATACGTGGTAGCCACTTTCTCAGTTGGGTTTTTTTTTTTTTTTTTCTTTTTTGTTTTTTGCGATGTTTTAAACTCGACACACTGGAGTTCTAGAGGACAACCGGGAATGGCGGGTGTGATCGACGAGGCCGGGGCATTGTGTCTGGTCTGAGGCTTTCGTGATTACTTGAGACCCATTCAGCGAGAGGCGTACTTTCAGAGAGGGTAACATGAGCACCAATTGGCTGGCTAACTAGAGTGCTGTCCCCTGCAGCTCACATATCTGCCCTATGGAGATTGTGTTCGTGGACGCATGATAGCTGCCCACGGTTTGTCTTCACCCTAGATTTTTTCCCCACCTGTTTGGGTTTTGGCCCCGTTCGTTTAACCACACAAAAAATCCCTTATTTCATGCTTCTAAAATATAATGAAAGAGGTTTTCTAGAAGAATAAAAAGAGATGAACGTTTCCGTAATACCACCGAGCTTCCAGGGCCCGTGTAGTCAGTATCAGTATTGTGATAAAACGATCATATTGAAATTGATTTTCTGCGACAGGTGGGAAAAACATGCAACTCAACACACGAGACTGGCAGAACACTAATTTACATAACCAACAATTTTCTATCTACCGCCAAAAATAATTCTTTCCGTTGTATTGCGATTATTTTGCACTGCAAATACAATGTAATTAAGAGTGCCTTGATATAATCAGTTCAGCGTTCATGATGAACGCTTCAGTTTATTCGCGGAATCAGGCATCTACAACACTTCTTGTTTTTCGCGTGTTTTCTTGTTTCCACTAGTCACTCGTTCCGCTCTAAAAATCCGCATAAGCCATACACAATAATTTAATGAGCACACTAATTAATACACACGAGCTTTAGGAGGGAATGATTCAACCTCATCATCCAATGTATTCATGTGCACCGGCCTGTAGTCCAAGCGGACCTTCTCATTCTCCCAGTATCTGCAAATCAAATGCTCAAATCTTAATTACAAAACAATGCATTGGCACAAACCTATATCTTTCTTAAAAAGAGTCACTACAACAAATTCTGCAAACCAACGAAAAATTCTTTCACGCTAACCGACCCAACAACCCCCGCCAAATTTGCAGATACTCAAATTTTCAATCAAAATATGGGTGCTCAAAATATTTTCACTGTAGATCAAATTTTCAATCAGTATTATTCCACTTCAGTGTCTGATTCGTCAACAGACTGGCTACTCAAAGGCTCAATTGTTCTTTAACAAGAATAAGCTTAAATGTATTGGAAAAGAGCTAGGATCAAGGTTCCCACAAGTAAAAGAGAGACTAAATTCTCTTTAAGTACCTTTATTGTTTAAGCAAATAAATAACCTTATCATAAAATTTGAAAATGACTTACCCTAATGTGTGCTTCAACCAATTCTCATCATCTCTTTTCTGCAGAATCAAACAAAGAATTCAACTACCATTATTATTGACGTTGAAGAAAATCCAGACAATTGATAGAAACTAAATCACTGACCGTAAAGTCCTCACGGGCATGTGCTCCTCTACTCTCTTTCCTGGCTTCAGCCGAGTGCATGGTGATGCAGGCATTTATCAAAAGGTTTTCCAACTCAAGAGTTTCAGTCAAGTCAGTGTTCCTGTAAATAAACTGTCAAGCAGAATGTCTTGAATAGTAATACTACCAATTCTTGTAACACTTGCAAAATAAGCTTTACCATATCAGACTACGGTCCTTCAACTTTACATCATGAAAGCTCTCCCATGCTTTATCAACTAATTGACAACCTGCCAATCAGCAAACGGAGTTTAGAGGGAGGAGGTAAATACTGAACCGTCAAAAGTCTATATTGATTAAAAAACTATATTTAATACTTCCAAGTACATTTTCCTGCAGATAAATGAACAAGTTTTGATTATTAAAAAAAAATCTAGCTTAACCCTAGAGATTGACATCCTAATGGGCGTGGCTTGGTAAATGCAATATTTTAACTTACACGGCGTGTTTTTTCAACCAGCATCCTAGTTAGCATTTCTTCTCTCTCTCCACAACCACCACCACCCCCCCCCCCAAAAAAAAAAAATTCTGTTCTGCTCTTCCCCAAGCCAACAAATTGGTGCTCGTAAGACCCAAAACTCTTCCCTTGGTTGAATCTCAATTTACCCTTGCTTTGGCCCCTTGATTGAATAAGCTTAAGTAGAGCTTTGAAGGGGAAATCGGAAGTTAAAATTGCCTCGCAGAAGATTTCCCTCTTCTCAATCTTAGTCAAGAAACGGATTTAAATCATTCGAAATCAAAGGCCCACAAACTTGTGAAGTTTCTTCCTAGGAAGATGGATTATTTTCCCAATTGTTGCACTAATCATTACAATGGTTTGTTTCATATATATATATATATATATATATATATATATATTCCATGCTCCAGATAATCTAAAATAAATAACCGACGGATTAAACGATCTCTATCAAGATGACAGAAGTTGAAAGTCTAGAAATAATAGAAACAGAAACAGAAACAGAAACCATTGATCGTCTGTTTTGCGAACTGTGAAAATGAAGAGAAACTTTTCAATTTCGGTCTTTGCTGGAACATGAATCAAATTCAGAACCGGAAATAGAAAACAACAATCCTCTACTAAAGAAGAGAACATCAATTTCTGGACTTCACCAGCAGCATCAGACGGGAAGATCAATGGAGGGAGTCAATCACAGAGAGTGTGCGTGTTCAGGAAAAGAGGGGATTGAGAGAAGAAAATGACGAGTTGGAGGGGAGAGAAAAGTGCCAACCGCCAAGAAAGCAGGCCACAGATCATCCTTAACAGCATTAATGGTGTTATCCTCACTCTCTGGGAATACTTTTAGGGTGACTTTTATTAGGGCTAAAGCACGGTATGGACCATATAGAACTGGAGAGATTGAAAAGGATAATTGAGAAAAAGAAAGGAAGGCAAAGTGCTTGATCATATTTGATATAAAAATGTTTACCTTCTTCTAATGTTTCCTGTGTACGAAACACAGCAGCATTATTTTGCATTACTCGTTGCATATTTAATCTAATATTTGAAGTTGGTAATGAACCATTTGAATTTCTCAGCTTGTCCAGCCATGCAATTGTCTTTTGACCAGCATCCTTCTCCAGCGGCTTCTGTTTTGCTCCTGTAAAATGGAACGTAGACGCAATTTTATCGCAACCATTTCAACGCAAAAATCCAAAACAGTAACTCGGGAAAAAATCTTGCCTGGCCTTTGAATTTCTGCAACCCTATTTGCACAAGCTCTACCGAAAACAACGATGTCGAGAAGAGAATTTGCACCAAGCCTATTGGCGCCATGGACTGACGCACAGGCTGCTTCCCCAGCAGCCATCAGACCTGGTACTACTGCATCTGGATTGTCTCCTTTAATAGTAACCACCTAATAACATGACGGTAACTCAGCATTTTTCCTCCAACCGCCTAACCAACAATAAGGTAAAAAGCACAAAGCAAAATAGAATTCGTATTCACAATGAACAATATCATTCACGACTGTCCAAGTTAATTTCATTTTATTTTTATATTTTTTATGTTTATCATTAATAGATGTAAAAATTTAGAATAATCTTCTAACTATAATTTTAAAAAAAATTAGAAACTTCAAATCTGATTTAGATGGTCGAATCTCATTTTTGCTTTGAACATGCAAAAGCAGCTCAACGAGCTCTTATCTGGACTAAACATAAAGGCTATTTTGCCTACTACACATGTAGCAAAATAAAACTAGGACTCTGACTGACTAAACCACCGTCCTGTGTTTCCACCGAAACAAAATAAATAATCCCAAGCCCACAGTCCAAACAAATGATCAAGAAAGAAAAGTCACTTGTGATCAATTAGCAGGGGCCGTGATTTGAATAACTACATTTGGAATTGTATCATCGTATGAACAGGAAAACATGTTTATTTAACAAATATTTTTGTGCAAATAAATTTGATTTTAAGGGACTAAAACCCTGCACAAATATTACAAAAATTCTGCCCACCTTAACCCCTCACACGGTTCCCTTTTCATTACTCCCATCCAAACCAACATCGCATGGCTTATTTCAGACTACTAGCTTTAGATTTCATACCTCTCCGTGATGGTTAGTGGGAATACCACCCATGTTATAGTGCACAGTTGGCAAAACAGGAATGGGTTCTTTTGTAACATCCACACCAGCAAATATAGCAGCAGTTTCAGAGATGCCAGGTAACCTTTCCTTAAGCACATCTGGGGGCAAGTGATTTAAATGTAGATAGATGTGATCCTTCAGAGGTCCTGCAAATTTATTCGACCATTATTGTAAACCTGTCCGACTTAAACAGAAGGAGCACGCGAAAAACTGAAAAACTAGCAGGACAAACATTCTTCTAAATAGAGAATACAAAGGTCATGGTTTCATGCTGATCAAACAAGCCACTAATTTAGAAGTTTAAAGAATAAACAGTGAGCGAGAGTGTTCTTTTTATAGAAGTATTTGATATATGGTACTGCTGGGTCAAATTTGAATACTGAGTCTTGCTTGAATCTGACCAAACAAATAATGTATTATACCCCCAAGGCATGTTGCACGAATTACCTACAAATTACTATATGACCAAGGTTAATAAATCAAAAACTACGAAAGATTTATTCAATTATTTAGTAGTGAGCAATTTTTTTTTTTATAACTTTATTTGGCTTCCAATTAGGCCTTCTATATTTCCTATTTTATGCATTCTTTTCTAAGAGTTTAAGTTACGTTTTCTTTCATTTTTGCTTTTAAGAGTTTATTTCAATGCAGGTTTAAATTGTAATTATTTTAATAATTGTATTCAGGGTTCTATAAATAGTCCTAGGTAATTTTCATTATTAGAACTTTTGATGAATTATTATTGAGCTTATTTGCTTTCAGCTCTCCCCTCATCTCCCTACTTCTCCCTCCTCCAATTTCTCCCTCCTTTCTTCTACCTCCTCCATCTAGGGGTATCGCTACAAGGTCCCTCACGTTCCTTGCATGCTCCCATTACTGGAAAATCTCCCAAATTCCATAGTTTCAGATGTCAAATCATCCAACTTACCATGACACTGTATGCATCACCAGAAAATCAGCACATCCACCAAAGCATGTTGTCAAAGACTCTTCCAGACACCAACAAAGCTCTCCAGGTGTGGGCTTCGCATGCCACATGCACTGCATGCCTCATTCTAGGACCCAGTTTTGCAGCATTTTACATGAATAGATGTTTAAATATAAAAGATATTAATTGGATGTTTTTTATTACATATTTGTAAATATATTATACCGATACATGTCTGGTTGTGAAAAAGTGGGTCAGGCCAGGACGGGTATCTTACAACCCAGACACTTAGACCAGGTCCAGAATCTTAAAATACCTATAAAAGTACCCGTACCCAGACTCAAACGGGTAAATTATATGGGCACCCATAACGTCTATTGCCCATTGCTACTCTAAAAGCATTCAGACTTCTTATAACTCATGAATGGTCAAAAGAAGAAAAAACTTCCAACAAGTGGATTTAAAAATGAAAACTAGCATACCTACACCACGACCTTCCCGGATCTCCATAGTCATTGATCTCGAAACAACATCTCTTGATGCAAGATCCTTTGCAGTAGGAGCATACCGTTCCATGAATCGCTCACCTTCACTATTCCTAAGAATTCCACCTTCTCCACGAGAACCTAAAAGTCCAACAAGGAAATTAGAAACACTATTTCAACTTTGCTGGATAAGGGTGTAATACAAGTAACAGGTAGCACCAGCAGGTGAGAAAGTACACCACTAACCTTCTGTGATTAGGCAACCAGCTCCATATATACCTGTTGGATGAAATTGCACAAACTCCAGATCCTGCAAAATTCATGCCAAGAAATTGTGAAGGATACCAGACACACTCCATAAGATAACAGCAGAAAATTTCAATGGAAAAATGAAGAAACCTGAAGTGGGATCCCTGCACGTGCGACCATGGCATTACCATCTCCTGTGCAGGTATGTGCAGAGGTGGCAGAAAAGTATGCTCTTCCGTAACCCTGAATAAAATTTAGAAATTTGACACACAAGTCACATCCATAACAAAGGCAGGCAGATAAGAGTTTCACTGTCAAACATGCCAATAAAATCATACTCCTGTGGCCAAAATTGTTGAAGCAGCTTGGAACCGATGTAATGTTCCATCCTCCATGTTCAACGCAACTACTCCTTGGCAACTACCTAAATTTCCAATATAAATAATCAGGTTACTTTTCCATAAAATACAACACAGACCAAAAACAAAAATTGTTCACTTTTCACTTTAGTGTTTGAGGTTTTTTAAAAAAAGAAAAAGGAAACTGAATTTCCCTTGTGAACAATTTTCCTGGGAACTCTTGATTGAAGAAAAAAAGTTGAGCTTATCAATACACATGATGAGTAAATGATGGTTTCAAGAAATTATAACTATAGAATGTCTAATTCATGTAGCACTGTATGGGCATTATTGTATATAAACTTTTACCCCTAACTGCCAGTGTATAACTGCTGAGACTTGGTTCAATTAATTGATAGCAGATTGTTCTGACTAAGAAGCAAGCCATTCATTCTATGCAACAACTTACCATCATTATCCATTAAAAGATCCAATGCAAAATATTCCACAAAAAATTGAGTATTATGTTTCATGGCCTGGCCATAGAGAGAGTGCAATAAAGCATGTCCAGTTCGATCAGCAGCACATGCACAACGGTATGCCTGCCCGCCTGTGCCACAACAGATTAAGGAAATCAAGTCAAGAACCCCTTTTAGATGAAGAACAAACCATTCCTGTTCCAGAGTCTGCACTCACCTTTTCCAAAGTTCAGGCTCTGACCACCAAATGCACGCTGGTATATTCTTCCATCCTCAGTTCGGGAAAATGGTAATCCATAATTCTCAAGCTCAATGACAGCTTTTGGCGCCTCTCTGCACATGTATTGGACGGCATCTTGATCTCCTGCACATCACAGATGGCAAGTATTCAGATTGAAACATATTATGTTGGTTCAGCCGTACTCATGCTAGCACAAGAATCAAAGAAGCCTTTAGACTTTTGGCAAATGCCATATAGCTGCATTTGCTGGAAAACAAGCACAGGAAATACATTCTCCTACCAACACATTCAACAATGAAATCAAAGTAACTCAATATATCATAACTTCCATTATAGCAAACGCTTGGGCATAGCTTATATTGAATTTTGCAGGGCAAATTGATGGAAGATTTCTGAGATTGAAAAAATTTAGTACCTAGCCAGTCACTTCCCTTGACTGTGTCATACATGTGCCACCTCCAGTCATCCTCTGTCATATTTCCCAGTGCAGCATTTATACCACCCTATAAAAATTTAAAATTTCCTTGATTATGGCCTATCGGTTGGGTTGAAATAATTGGATAATCAGACATACTTTGGTGTGTCACGTGATACTTTATAATCATGAACCAGGTGAAGAAGCAGGAAGAATTCAAGGATATAGCATAACCTCAGACTTCATTGTTGTTCTTAAAACATCAGCAATAATGTGTCAAACAAAGATGAAATGGTGATTTTGCAATTACCCAGAACAAAAATGGGTTGAATAAGACAAACAGGCCTGTTACAACAAAATCTAAAGTCTAATTTAAACAAAGACTAAATATTACTTCGCCGTCATAGGAAACTGCTGGAACTCTATGGGTAGGTGTTATATGGTATATGGTAATTCTATTAGGGTAAATAATACACGAGGGGACCTTTATGTAATTAGCTATCAGGTCAGCGAATATTCATGCTATCAGGTTAGTTACAGGAGAGAGAGTGTATGGCTGCTGACGTGGCTTGAGTGAGGAGGCTACTTAGTATGTACCTGAGGTCATTTCTGTTTTTATGAATGAATCTGTTCTGTTTTTCCTCTCAATAGTAACAAATAGGTATCAGAGCCACCTCCGGTGCAATGCCGGAGACACGATCATCGGAACGCTTCAGCGACTTGGAGCAACGACTTGATCTGCAACAGGGAACCATCGACTCCATTCACTCACGATTGGAGCAGCATTCTCTGGACATCACTGAACTCAAAACCACCAATGCTCGCCTCGAAGGTTATCTCAAAGATATCTCTGCTAAGCTGTCCGATGCCGGGAAACGTCCTGCCTCCACCAACGGCGAAGGTGCCTCTCGTGCTGTCACACCACCTCGTGTTCCTCCTTTCGGCACCTTCAGTGAGATTCTTACACCGCCTCCTCCTCCGTATGTGGTGCCGACGAGACAAACCAGAATCGAGTTTCCCAAATTTGACGGAGAGGACTTTAGAGGCTGGGCTTACCGGTGTAGGCAATTTTTCGAGGTGGACGGCACACCTCAAGATCAACGCATTCGCTTGTTGTCGATTCATTTGGAGGGTCACGCATTACGTTGGCACCAAACATTCATGAAACACCGGTCCTGTTCTGAGGTTGGGTGGAATGAGTATTTCCGTAGCATGGAAGCGAAATTTTCTAATGTGCACGAGGAAAATCCATTGATAACTCTCAAGCGGCTTCAGCAAGGGGACGGACTGGTTCAGGAGTACGAGAAGAAATTCGATGAACTTCTTTCAGAGGTTGATATTCCCGAAAGTGTCGCTGTTAATTTGTTCATTGGTGGGTTGCGAGATGACATCCAGAAGCTGGTTTCAAACTTTACGCCTTCTTCTCTGGCGAGTGCTGCGTGTTCGGCGAGGATGCAAGAAGCGGTCGTTCAGGCGTTGCATGACCACGGTCCTCTTCGAAAGACATCTTGGGCTGGCAATTATCCGAAGAGCTCTGGCAATGTGGGCTTGAAGTCCGGCCCATTTCCTGACAGTTCCACTGGACCCGACAAATCCAAAACGCCATCGTCGCCTGCGTCTAAATCTTCGGCCGTCACTCCCCCTTCTTCGTCCTCGGTAGCGTCCAAGCCCACCAGGCATCTTACTAAGAAGGAGATGGATGATCGCCGGAGGAGAGGCCTATGTTACTGGTGTGCCGAAAAATACACTCCTTCTCATCGCTGCAAAGAGACACACGTCTTCTCTCTACTGATTGAGGATGCTGATGAACAGTTTGAAGACGCTCTGGATGAAGTGGCCCCTGATTCCTATGGCACGCTTAACGCCATTGAAGGCAGAGAGGACGTGGCTACCCTGAAATTGGTTGGGCACATCAAGAAGCAGCGAATCATCATCTTAATTGACACGGGCAGCTCACATAATGTGATTAACTCCGCCATGGCTAAGAGGCTTAACTTGAGGATTCATGAACGACCGGAGGTCACATTAACTGTAGCTGACTCTCGCAAGGTGAGTGTTACTAAGCACTGTCCCGATTTGTCATGGGATATGGGGGGATACACCTTCTGTGATAATTTCTTGGTTATGAAGATAGGAGGGTATGATGCGATACTGGGTACCCAGTGGTTGAGAAAATTGGGGCGTTTCTCTATGGATGTGGAATTAAAGCTGTTCGAATTTAAATGGGAAGGTCAGACTGTAGAATTACGAGGCCTGGGTTGCAAGAATCCTGTGCCAGCTAATGAATTGAGTGCTTCCAAGGAATTAGTAGTGGCTCCGCATATCTTCCTCATTCACATTCCCTCTCAGCTACAGCTGAAATTGAGTTTCAATTCAGATTTAACACCAACACAGCGCTCCGACCTACAACACTTGTTAGATAAATATACTCCAGTCTTTGATGAGCCTAAGGAGTTACCTCCACCTCGTAGGTTTGATCATGCCATTCCCCTTAAAGAGGATAAACCTATTAGCTGCAAACCGTATAGATATGGGCCTCTTCAGAAAGCTGAGATTGAACACCAGGTACAACAGATGCTGAGTAATGGTGTCATTAGAGAAAGCAGTAGCTCTTTTGCTGCTCCTGTTGTTCTAGTGCAAAAGAAAGATGGAACATGGAGATTCTGTGTTGACTACCGGAGGCTCAATGATGCTACTGTTAAAAATAAGTTTCCTATCCCAGTTATAGAAGAGCTGCTTGATGAACTGGCAGGTGCTACCTATTTTTCTAAACTGGACCTAAGGGCTGGATACCATCAGATTAGGATGAGGGTGGAAGACATTGCCAAAACTGCATTTCGCACTCATGAGGGGTTATATGAATTCATGGTCATGCCCTTTGGGCTAACGAATGCCCCGGCCACTTTCCAAGGATTGATGAATTCTGTGTTTAAAGCTTATCTACGGAAATTTATCCTAGTCTTTTTTGATGACATTTTAGTCTACAGCAAGGATTGGCAATCTCACTTGCAGCATTTAGAAACGACCTTGGTCACCCTACAGCAGCAGAAATTATTTGCCAAGGCTTCAAAATGCACCTTTGCAGCTAGGCAAATTGATTATTTGGGACACATAATATCAGAACAAGGAGTTCAAGCAGATCCTCGGAAGCTAGAAGCCATTTCCTCTTGGCCAATACCTAGCTCCTTGAAAGAGTTAAGAGGGTTCTTGGGTCTCACAGGGTATTATCGCAGATTTGTGCAGCAATATGGTACACTAGCTAAACCCCTGACCGATCTCTTAAGGAAAGACCAGGCTTTCTTGTGGACAAAGGAAGCAGAATCTGCTTTTCAAGCACTCAAGCAGGCCATGATTTCTCCCCCGGTGCTTGCTCTCCCCAATTTTGATGACACTTTTGTTATTGAAACCGATGCATCTGGTTTTGGTATAGGTGCTGTCTTGTCTCAAAGAGGGCATCCAGTAGCATTTGTAAGTAAGGCCCTTGCTCCCAAGAGGAAGCCATTATCTGCTTACGAGAGAGAACTATTAGCCATTGTGTTTGCTGTCAAACAATGGCGTTCTTACCTATGGGGTCGGAAGTTTGTCATAAAGACAGATCATTTGCCTTTAAAACATTTACTGGAGCAAAGCGATCTGAATCAGATTCAGTTTAAGTGGTTGCACAAAATGTGGGGCTTGGATTTTGACATTGTATACCGCAAAGGCAGTGAAAATGCTGCTGCTGATGCATTATCCAGGCGTTCAGAAGGAACTATTGCTGCTATTTCTGCACCAGTGTCACCTCTTTATGACAGGGTACGTGACTCATGGCTGGTTGATGATGAATTGCAGATATTGATCAAGGAGATTGAGTCCAACCCCTTATCCCATCCTAAATTCACATGGCAGCATGGTCTCTTAAAAAGGAAGGGGAAATTGGTGGTAGGGGCTGATTGTAACCTACGGCGTGAATTGCTCTCTTATTTTCATGGTGATGGAATTGGAGGCCACTCAGGAATGCAACCTACTTTCAGGCGCCTCTCTTCTATTTTTTACTGGAAGGGGATGGAAAAGGATGTGCGCAACTACGTTCGAGAGTGCCATACTTGTCAACGATTTAAACCAGAACTGGTAGCTTCTCCAGGTCTTTTACAGCCCCTCCCAATACCTGAACATGTTTGGTCTGAATTGTCTATGGATTTTATTAGTGGCTTGCCTAAGTCTTATGCTAAGACAACTATTTTAGTAGTTGTGGATAGGTTGTCTAAAGCCGCCCATTTTATGGCTTTGAAACATCCGTATACAGCTGTGGAAGTGGCCCAAGTCTTTATGGATAATGTGGTGAAATTGCATGGATTTCCTAAATCGATTGTTTCTGATCGTGACCCTATTTTTTGTGGGAAATTCTGGAAATCATTATTTCGCTTATATGGTGTGAATTTGAACTATTCTTCTGCCTATCACCCTCAATCGGATGGTCAAACTGAGGTTCTAAACCGTTGTTTGGAGTGTTATCTCCGCTGTATGACTGGTGACTTTCCCAAACAGTGGGTTAAGTGGCTGCCCTTAGCAGAATTATGGTATAACACAACTTATCATTCAGCTATTGGGATGACCCCCTTTGAAGCTGTCTATGGCATGGCTCCTCCTACCCATCTACCTTATATTTCTGGTGATTCTCCTAATGATGTTGTGGACCGAACTTGCATGGCTAGGGAGTTAGTTCTGCAATTACTTAAACAGCACCTACTAAAGGCTCAACACCGGATGGTTAATCAGGCCAACAAGCACAGATCTGAACGACATTTTGAGGTAGGAGATAGGGTATATCTAAAGCTTCACCCTTTCCGCAAGAATCTGCTTAATAATTCTTCGCTGCACAAGCTGGCAGCTCGTTATTTTGGACCTTTTCAGATTACTAAGAAGGTGGGCAGTGTTGCTTATGAATTGAAGTTGCCGGCAGATACTAGGATACACCCTGTATTCCATGTCTCTTTATTGAAAAAGCATACTGGTACTACTGATCATGCGTCTCCAACCTTACCCCCCGTTGATGCCCAAGGGCAATTTTCGCTTGAACCAGAAGAGATACTAGGGAGGAAGATTGTGAAACGACATAACATGCCTGTCACTCAGGTTCTAATCCGCTGGAAATTTACTCAACCAGAAGATGCAACATGGGAGGACCTCACAACCATCAAGCAGCAGTTCCCTCATTTTGCTACTACGGCTCCTCAAGCCACATCCATCCTTGTGGACAAGGATGTTTTTTAGGGGGGGAAGTATATTGTTATATGGTATATGGTAATTCTATTAGGGTAAATAATACACGAGGGGACCTTTATGTAATTAGCTATCAGGTCAGCGAATATTCATGCTATCAGGTTAGTTACAGGAGAGAGAGTGTATGGCTGCTGACGTGGCTTGAGTGAGGAGGCTACTTAGTATGTACCTGAGGTCATTTCTGTTTTTATGAATGAATCTGTTCTGTTTTTCCTCTCAATAGTAACAGTAGGGTTATCCAAAAATACATACATCTAGAACATAAAGAAATAACTACTGCGTATACAGATCACTTATGTCATGGGAGAACCCATCCACCGAAAAACTGAACATTAGCAGAAAGGATAGAGGGTTGATGGATTCAATTAACAAATATGAATCTAAACAGAAGTTATTGTACGTAGCCCTTAAACTAATGCATATAAAACATATAATGATATGACATGGAGTTATTGATAGCTTGAAATGTAAATGTATTAAACCTGAGCTGCAACCGTATGTGAACGAGTTGGGAAAAGCTTAGTAATGCAAGCAGTATTGAATCCATGTTCCGAGAGTCCAATAGCAGCTCTCAACCCCGCACCCCCGGCACCTACAACTATTGCATCATAAGTATGATCCACCACAGTGTATGAGGAGTTGCCCCCAGTCTGCAAGAGCAAAAGCAGGCACATTCAGCAAAATGCAACTCTGTCAAGAAACAAGGCAAATTCTGCTTCTGCCTAAATCAATCAACGTTGGATGAGAATTCCAAAATCCAGCCAGTTACAAGCTAAGCTTTGGAGTAAAGTCCATAAAGACCAGAACGGAAAATGATCAAAAACGCGTCCAGGACAAGTTGCTCAGACATTCAAATAAGGATAGTACAAAAGCAAAAGTTATGAAGGAGAAGCGGAGGAAAGACGGGTACAAAAATCCAAGAAAATAAAATCCAATAAATTTAACAACACCAAAAACCTAAGATTGGTACGTTATCAATGATCGAGGAAGAAAGAGATCGTACAGAGAAAAATCTCGAAATGTGAGACCGAAGAGAGTCATTAGGAATGGATCTCTTGGAAGCTGGTACGCGAAGACCACGAGCAACGCACCGCCACATTTCCTTAACACTGTCGCTCCACAAGCCCGAGCTGGCTTTCTGAGTCTTTTTGTACGTGTGCCTACCTCGAGACGCTCTTGTCCTGACTCTTCTGTCTCACCGCGGCTTATTGTTGCCGCTCTTTTATAACTACCTCAGTTGATGCCTGACGAATTACTTAGACCGATGGTGGATGGGACTGGTCAAACCGAACAATTAACGATGTAACGGAGGCTGTTAAGAGAGTTGATACATTTATAAAGATAGTATGCCTAAAAATTGAAAGGGATGCATAATCTTGCTTCATATATAATATGTTTTCTTCGTTAAAAATGAAAAATGTTTCTTTATTAGAATCGGACAGGTAAAATCGTTACTGGCAGTGGATGGTGCCCGAAACTCCGGCGTGTGTTGCAGATTCCTCTTCAAATAATGAGTGGTTAAAAAAACTTGTAAGATGATTCGAAACACATCAATATTTTTGTTTTGCCTATGGTTATTAATTGAAATCTGAAGCAATTTTGTTGCTCTTTTCATGTTCACCTACATCATTGGATCTGACTGTTGTGTCTAAAAAAAAGGTGTGATATGATCATATATTAATTTCATTTGCATTGCAGAATGAATTTTATATTTAGGATTGGGGGTAATATTATTTTTAAGTCCTACTTATTAATCATTAATTATTATTATAAAAATGCTGTAATCCAAAATAAAATTATAGTTATACCCGGGGGGGAAAAAAAGATTTGTCTGCGCGGTCCGCGGGGAAGCCAGAAAGGAGGAATAGAGTTTGAGAGACGTGAGCGTCGAAAGAGAGTTTTGGATTGGAAGCCGGTACACGTAAAAGAACAAAAGAAGAACACGTGGCAACGCTGGAGTGAATTGAGAGCTGGGAAAGTGAAGAGGCCCTTGGTGCTCTCTCGGCCACGTCATATCCGACGGAGACGCCACTCCCCTGGCCACGTTGCCTTCAACTCGACCGCAAGCATCCAAAGTCAGACACCCCTCCCCTCCCCAACGTCTTTTCTCCAAGACCGACGCCCTAAGATATTTATCCCGTTATTGAATTTCAGAATATTATTACATTTTTCAGGTTCAAAAATTATGTACGCTTTTTAATGTTTTAATTACTATTCATAATGTTAAAATTTTTAAAAGCAACACTGGTTTAAAAAGTTAATGATATCTTATGTCCTGAATGGGAAATGACTCTCAGTAGGAGGGAGTTCGGGACTGAATTGTTTATGGGCCAATCATGAAGATACTGATTAAGAGGCAGCAACACTTCAGGTCTTAAATGTTGGGCCGAAGAATAAAAGTCTCAAGCTCAAGCCCATAAAAGTAGATGCTGGGTCATATTAAAAAAAATAGAACAAACATTTAGTAGTGCCAAAATTAAAAAATAGGTTTTTATGCCAACTACAAATATATAGATGTATATATATTCAGAATAATACATATTATATATTTCTCCAATCTTTAATATAAGACCTAGTTATTGAGTTGATTTTGCATCACTTTTTTTCCTGAATTATCCATGTCGATACTCTTTTGATCATAATCAAGTAATAAAGAAAAAGAGGATATTAAGAAAAATAATTATGATGTTTTTTAGAAAAAAAATATGTCATATTTTTTTACAATTAACTAATTTAATTAGTATTCTTAATCAATTCGAATTAGTTAATTAGGAGACCAGAGGCATATTATTGACATTTTTTAATGTTATGGAGACTTATCTCACCATGGATTCATACAACTCATTCGTCGTCTTAAACAAATCATTTGTAGAAGCAACCTCTGAGCTTGAACTTTCTGGCTTCACGTGTTTATGTTACCATAATTAGGCTCTCATGATTTATGCGGCTTCATCTTCAGATTGAACAAGTAGCTGTGGCATATCACTTTATTTTTGTGATGATCATATTGATTTGTTTGGCTTGTTCAAGGTGATGATTTAACATCTAAAGTAACGAAGTACCACACATATATCTGGACACGTAATCTGATGAATAGCTTGACGAACAATATCGTAGATTCCTGGTTGTTAATAAATAAACTAGGTATATGTTCGCGATATATACTAGGAGCTCAGCGAGTAGTGCGTGAATGATTAAATTAAAGTAGCATGTTCCTTTTCTTGCAGGGCATATTTGTCCCAGGACACGGGGTAAAAACAAAGCCTTTTATGGCTTGAAGAAAGAAAATAATAGTAAGATGCAACAAATCATACACAAAAAGATAACCCAGTCAAGATATCGTAAACATATGCGCCCTCGCACCAAAGGCGCCTGTACAGATTTGAAGTTTACAACAGCGTGGAATTTAAACATATTGGCTTTGCCGATCCCGGCTTATGCATGGGAGGACTATTTATACTCTCTCTCTCTCACGTACATAATGATATACATATATATATATATATATATATGCATATGTATATATTGGCTTTGCAGGTCCTCCCTTCTGTCTGCCTCGCGCAGGAAAAGGTCCTCTAATACCTCATTTTTTATGGTCTTTTGAAATGCATCAACTTCCCAAATTTTTTTTTTTTGGTTATTAGATTCTACATGAAATAAGTGACATTTTGATATCTTATGAATAAAAATAGTATATTTTTTATATTTCCTTGTGATTTTGTAAAATAAAACACTCTAAAATTGTGCATTTTCATTTTAAAAAATCATTAAAAAAACTGCACTATTTCTTGCTCATAAAATGTCAAAATATTACTTATTTTATATAAAATTTAATAGCAAAAAAAAAAAAACACAATCTGGGAGGTTGAGGGCATTAGAGGCCCTTGTCCACTTGTGCGCCAGGCCTACAATCCACAGAGATATATGGTTATATATTAAGAGAATGTTTAGGTAAAAATCACTTTTTAGAAAGTTTTTTTTTTTTTTTAATGAACAAACACCCCACCTAAGGCAAACACGAACGCTAAATCAAAGATAGACGTGACTGCGATGGGTAAACCTTTAGGAAAATTGTAAATATCACAAAATTAAATTTATAAACAGGGGTCGGTCATGTGTTGGAAACGCTCTTCATCCCTTATTCCCAGAGACATTTAGTAATTCCTTGCTACTATAACAATATGGAAAACACACCCGTTCGCAAATGCAAAGATCGATTCAAAGAGATGGGTTCAAATACGCTTCCATATTACTAGAAACTGATGTAGGATTTGATCTTTGGGATTTTGATTCTAATATGTTCCATGTTAAAACTAGCCACGGGAAGAGTTCCTTTGATCTGGGCCCTTCTTAATGCGTGTGTTAGTATGTGCCTCTCCCCTCTTTAAAGTGCACCTTACCCTAATCTTACCAAGCCGAACAATTTTGGACGGCTCAACACTGCAATGCAACTTAAAGATGTTCAGTAGTAAATTATTAAACTCGTTATATGCATAAATGAGCGTGCTACTTTTCTTGCAGGCCATGTATAAGGGTGAAAATAGGCCAGGCGGTCTGTCAGGAACCTGTGACCTGGCTTGTAAATGGCCTAACCTATTTAGATATCAGAACAAACTTTGGCCTATAAAAAAGTTTGTTTACTTTATCAAGCCAGGCTCAGACATGATAATAAGCTTGTTAGACTTATCAGGCAGCCTGGGCCTGTTATCTTTTTTTTTTTAGATTAAAATTCTAAATAGACAGGTATTGAAATTTAACCAATTGCCCACTACCTTACCCTCGGTCAACAAGGTGGCTCCTTCTTATCTACCTATAGTTGTTATTTTAACCGAAATTAAAAACTATCAGTGCTCAGGGAGCATGAATACGTAGGGGGATATATATGATTGATCAAAGTGCTATTAATTATGCATATATATTGATATATAGTAATTGTACTTATTAATTACCTGAGGACCAAAAGGGTCTCTAACTACCCAAGCTTTTGCCTTTTACACCAGTTTTTTAATTTGTTTTTCATATCAGCTTTTTAATTTGTTTTTCATTTCTCAAGCAATAAGTATGGTTTGAAGAGGAAAGCAAATGTATAAATTTTGAATTCTAAAAATAATACCATTTCTTGCATTTATTAGTTATTAAATTTTGTTATGATCTTAACTAATACATATTTATATTTATTAGTTATTAGCAAAAATAAATTGTATTAATTTGATAATTTCATATTTTCTGTTTGTATTTCAAATAAATTGGGTTGAATTATTGTAATTTTGAATTGATTTATGTGTGTTTGAAATTTGTTAAAAAAAACAAGCCCCTTAACAAGCCACAGACTAGGTTTGATTATAGGCCAGGCTTAGGCCTAATAAAAGACCTTTCACAGGCCAAGGTCAGGTTTAGGCCAACAGGTCTCACCACAGGCTGGTCCTATTAAGAGTGAGGCTTGACCTGGCCTGTTTCCACCCTTAGCCATGCATAGCTATTCCGAGATATGGGATAAATTCAAAACCGTTTTGCAGTCGGAAGAAATTAGGAAATAATAAGATATAATAAATCATGCACAACGAAAGATGAACCAATCAAGATATCATATATATTTACACGCGCACCCCAAAGGCGCATATACAGATCTAAAGTTTACAACAGTGTGGAATAAACTAAACTTCAACATATTGGCTTGCAGGTCCAGGCTTATGCATGGCAGGAATATTTATACTTTATATTCACACACACATACATATAATGAAGTGGTCTGATCTAATGAGTATGTTTCGTAATTTCTTTTTTTGGTTTTTTCAGTTTGTCTCCTTCTGGCAGACTTGTGCTCTAGCTAGGCCACATAGTCCATACAGATATATGGGTATATATTAAAGGAAACACAAACACGATCAAATCAAAGATAGACGTTGGACCGTGATGGGTAAGCCTTTAGGAAAATCAACGAAAGGGTACACAAAAGCTTGATCTTGTTCAGCCAACTGCCATTCACAGTTGAGGATGAGATGGTGGATGAAAATCGCTATTTCTAGCTTCGCCAACTCTGATCCCGCGCAGTATCTCCCCCCTCCTCCAAACGGCATGAAGTTATTGCTCGTGCCTGTGCTGCCTCCACGACTCCCATTGTTCTGCGCAGTATCAATTATCAAGTTAATAAATGAAGAGAGAGAGAGAGACTATGGCCTGAGGAAAAAAAATCCAGAAATCTATA